GTTAAGCGAGTGCTCTACCACCTGAGCTACGCCCCTTGATACAAGTGCTAGCGAAAATCCGCCATTACAAATACAATTCCACTCGGGTGTGAACAGCATTGTATCTCGTATCTCTATCGATTCATAGAATACTTGCAATGACGCACCTTGTATAAGACAACCTTGCACTTATGTATTATGCGTGCGTAGTTTGCACGCGATTCAATTGAAAGTTAACGTATGTGAGTTAAAAAGTATAAACGAAACTTCGGGGAAAAAGAGGAGTTAAAATCGAACTACAAAGTTTACAACTCAGAAATAACAACTTATAAGCGATTGGATTTATGTCTTTTTTTGTTTTTGTACGGTACGTATAAAAACATGTTTTGGCGAATAACTAATCTTTGAGTAGACTGGCCGAAGAAGCATGAAAATTTCGTCTAACCGCATCAAGAACTCATTTTTGACAAAATTGACTTTAACGGACTTTCTTCCGCGAAATATCATTATGTCCTTCGCTACAAAGTTTCAGGACAGATTTTAAGCATCTCGAGCGTTGTGTTTGAGGCCTGCACTATGCTTGAGTGATTTCTTAAACTAATTTTGAAATGTTACAACTACCGCAACAATAAAATTTAATTAGTTTTAAATTTAAATATAATCGTATCAAAATGGCGGCATTCACGAACACTCTTGTTCGGAACACCATCTTTGTTACGAATTTTCGTTATGAAGCAATTTGAAGTTATAATTGGTTTCATTAATTAATCAAATCATTCACTTAAGCAAATGTGGCAGCTAAATGGCAAAAATGAATCCCTATATCGTCTTCGTTACCAGAAATTAACGTAACGTCGAAGTAGTAACAGAAAAAAGTTATTTAAATAAGTCTATTCAGTATTTAGTGATCTCTATTGTAATAGAAATAATTCACTGCGACAAAATTGTACGCAGCTTTAGCAATGTACGTAAAGATACATTGCGTGTTGTGTGTCATGTTCCTTAGACCCTATCCATACAATACAAAACAGATACTGTTTATTGCACGGCAAAATAATACACGAGTTACAGCAGGTGACACATTTACTAAAAAACGGATAACTCACATATTTAAGTCGAATTTTTACTCGACAAGTTTCGAACCAATTCGTGGTCTTTAATCATGAGATTTCGCAGCGGTGACTCAACGGAAACTGAGTTGAGTTAGACGGGTTTTAGTTAATATGTCGGAATCTCACAGTGGTTTTCTATTTAAAACAATATGTGACGTTATTCCTGGCAAGCAAGCTCTTCCAGGCAACTTCCACGATATATCACGGAGTGTGCGAGGAAATTGCACGATTTAATTCCGCCTTTCCATCATCGGGAGAATAGACGTAGGCTGGGGTTCCTCCTTTATGTTGCGGATATTCGAAGGATTCGCAGGAAGCATTTCCCTTCCATATCTATATGGCGAAGAGCTACGGTATGGAATTCCATGCCTACAGACTTGTTTCCTGTACAAAATAACTAGGGCTTTTTCAAGGCAAGAGTGAAGAGGCATTATTCAGGTGTATAAGCTCCACCGTCGACCTCATCATCACTTTCCATCAAATGAGATGGAGGTCAAGTGCACAATTATTTTTTTATAAAACAAAACCTCGAGGTGACGGAAGAACTTTAAGAAATTATGATAATGAGTGGGTGAAATGAATGCTACCTTTATAGGAATTTAATGCCTATATTTCTCATTTCACTACCCTTAAAAATAAATATATCATATACCGCTTCTACTACACTACGTCAATGATAACTCAGTAGCAGTAGAGCTCCATGTGAAAGAGTTCGTCGAGGGAAGTACTGCCACCTACAATGTTTCTGCCGCCAAGCAGTAATGTGACCATTACTGCTTTCCGATTTTGAAGGGTAAGGGTGCTGATGAAATTACAGGCACATAGGACTTGTCAACTTAAGCCTCTCAGATCTTTGCAATATAAATCTCTGAGTGGCACTGCAACTATTATGGAAAGACATGTAGCTTACGACCAGACACACGACTTGTTCGCCCTGCCATTTGATATTATGGAAAAAACTTCCACATTTATGTAGTCGACAGTAAGAAAATTGAAATTCCATTTCAATGACACATATTCCTTGAGATCATTAAGTATTTTGCACAAACGTTTCATGCGTAAAATACAACGAAAATTACACAGTTAGAGATATTATTTAAATGTAATAACGACGACGTTATTTGTGAAAGCACGCGACTGTACCTTAAATACGTATAAATGAAATATATCAGTACTAAATACAAAAACTTCCAAAAGGAAGGTTATTTTGCCAACATTTAATTAGGTTTTGAAATAAATTAACAGTTTTTATTTAAGACACGTTACAAATTTGAATCGGCATAATAGGCATTTTGCGTTAATCCAATTGAATTAATTAAAGAAATATATAGAATTATACAGTTTTTGTAAAATAGAAAGGAGAGGAGTCGTCTAATGCTTTCGAGTCAGCTGTTTGGTCACAATTGTCGTAGTCATCTTTGACCATTATACCAAGTGACGGGACGAACAAGTCCGTGCGCCTGGTGGTAAGCGACAAGCCTGTCCATAACAGTTGCAATGCCACTCAGAGCTTTAAAACGCAAATATCTGGGGCACTACCACTGCGCCCGTCACCCTGAGACATAAGTTGACAAGTCCCATGTGCCCGAAATTTCACCAGCACCCTTACCCTTCAAAACTGAAACACAGTAATTCTAACATTACTGATTGGCGGCAGAAATAGGTAAGGTGTCAGTACTTCCCTGGTCGAATACTTTCACAAGGAACTCTACTTCTACTAATACATAAACTCTATTGGGTTTGAACGTCCATCGTCATGTCGCTTCACTAGTCTTAACTAAACTACTAGTTAGATGGCAGCACTTTGTAATTTCAATATAAAATCGATCGTCGTAACTTGTAATAATAGGTATTGAACTCTCCACGATGTGTCAACAGGGTAAAGTTTAAGCCATATTAACAATCCAGAATTTGTTAATTCTTTTTAAATTTAAAACTGCGACCAATCATTATCAAGATTTCATAGTGTCTCAAAACTAAGGATGTATCAGTTTTGGCGACAGCGGTTCTGATATTAATCGACGCTCTAGGCATTTTCATTGATTTTTTCTTCTACGGTGTTCACAGAATCGGGGGCCAATAACTCGAGGATTTCCCGTTGCGACTTCGGTACAGTGGGCAACGGGCTTTAGTATTCCCGCATTTCGCAATATTCGACCAAGGCCATACCGACGTACGTCTCTCGTAAAAGTCGTAAAAATTTTGTGAATACGCCATCATCGTGTTTTTTCAAAAGGCCTTTGCAGAACAAATTTATGAGATAAATAAATTTAAAAAAAAAAATGTATTTATAAACCGACCACATACTGGATCCTTTTGTTTTTAAAACATGTAATAATAACAGAATGTTTGAATATAATAAATTATTTTCGGGCACCAATCATGAGCGGGAAAAATATCTGAATACATGGTCCCCAAAAACGATATTCGCTATAATCACCTGCTCTGGTCAATACAGTAAAGCTGGAAATAAATAATACATAGATGGGTGAAGTCCCTTTGTGCCATCCAAAGGAAGGTATTTAGTGGTCCTTTCTATAATCATTAACCACGACGCATTTCGTAATCAAGTCGTTTTAATGCAACCACTATGTAATACTTTAAATAATCATAGCCTTCATCTACTCTAGTTACGTCGTATCTATACGTCACAGTGACGAAATCCACAAATGTCACGTAACTGACTCGCCTTGAATAAACAGTTGCCTCAATACGCAGGAGACGCATATTTTTAACAGTAGTAGTAACGGGGGCGTAGCTCAGATGGTAGAGCGCTCGCTTAGCATGTGAGAGGTACCGGGATCGATACCCGGCGCCTCCAGGAACATTTTTTGACGTTCTTCGTACTTTGGCTCATAATAATAATGCGCGTGCATGTGTTGCGGGTGCCATGGGCACACACATAGACAATCACAAATTACACCCAAACTCACGAGAGAAAGAAATGTAAGCCATATAAAAATTACCCCCGGCCAGGAAATCGAACCCGGGGCCTCGGCGTGGCAGACCAGCATGGTAACCGTCCGACCACGGAGGCAGTTCGAATTCTTGTAAGAAATAAATTTACCAATTAATACGCTTTGTCATTGGCTGGTTACCATAGGCCCATCTGTGCATGTGTAAACTTTCGTGACAAAGCTCGTTAAGAGATGAGCTGGCAGCATCACCTTATTACTCGATATCAAAGTAACAGCAATCATCCTAATCCTCTTGCCGTACGCGGTGAGATTGCATCAAAGCCTCCTTGTTGATTGATTTAAGAGTCCACTAGGAATGCGAAACTTTGATCCGATATATGGGCTACCACCGCAAAGCACATTATAGTTTCTATTTCATCATATCCTAAATACTACATTACAATTTGAAGCAAATATATTTATTGTATTTTCTCAAGATTGAGGGAAACGATCTAGAGGTGGAAGTTCGAAACGATGGTGTGACCAGGTGGCTGAAAGTCTGGTAGTACCAGTGAGCATCGCATTCCACCTAGCTAAAGACAGAGTGCAGTGGAGAAGATTGATTAACGGTGTACTTGATCAAAGTCACGATCCTCAGCAGTGAGAGACCGACAGAGGAGGAGGAACTGAAAAATCCGTCCAAAAAGTAGTGTCCTCGCAGTGAAATGTACTGTCAGCAAAGTCGACGTGTTACCATCTTAAGGGTGCTTTCTGGGTGCAGGCAGTTTGGTTTTGGCCAGCAACAATGTTAAAGAATAATAAATTAATGTTTTAGGATTCGGAAGGCTCCACCATTGCTGATACTATAATTTTATACAGTCTACCTCTAATTGGGATTTAGATTTTGGACTTCAAACTGTTGTTCGTATCTAGATGATGTGAAGTTGAATTTAAGAAGCACATTATATTTAATCGTTTTTCAAGATAAATATGCTAGTACGTATGTACGTACCGATCCTTTCCGGCCCGGAAAACTGAAAAAGACGTCCGGTCCGTTCCGGTGCGGCATCTGTCGGAGCACATTGAGTAGCTTCGCTGAATGACGGGGCTGGAACAAAAGACGTGTCATTAGATTTATGATCATAGAACGAACTCCTCGTTCTACTCACTTTTCATAAAATGTGGCTGCAAATTTATTTAAAAAGTGGTTACAACATTTTGAAAAATGTTTGAGTAGAAACTCATTTTAAAAAGACATTTAACTTACTTCTGTTTTTACTTCATGTTTTTTAAAAATAAAGCATTAGAGAATGAGGGGTAGTATGTTTGCACGAGTGAACTAAATTCCTTATACTTGACGTGAGCTCTATTCAAAGCAAATAAAACAAACGTGTTATTCTACAAAACTACCCCTAAAACCGAGATTTGAAATATTCATTAGTTGCTCAGTGCAAATAATGAAACCCGTGTTTTTTTGCGGGTCAAGTTTTGGACATAAAAATTCTATTATTACAGGTCATATGAATTCCTTTTCAAGGAACACAATTTTAAAGAGCGATGAAAACGGGTTCCTAGTATCAAGTTACTAGGTTACTAGGGTATCAAGTATTTGAGTAGAAAAATCATACATAATACTGGATACGGTTACCCAAAACTGGATACGGTTAGTACGTAGACAATTATCATTGTATCCTTTTTTTATTATCCTTCCTACAAAGTTCTACATTAATTAGTCTATTACAGTGTCTTAGTATATAAGTAAGGTACATGTTATTACTTTTTATATGTTTCTTTAAACACAATCTTGACACGAATGCACTGTACAACAAGCGCATGAAACTCTTTATCTTTATAAAGAGTCAATTAAATTCAGAATTTATACAATTACGTATAAGTCCATTTCAAAGGAGAGATAAGACAACAAAGTAGCCAAGTAGTTTCTATTATCATCCCCGCAATGCTTTCTAATTCTACCAGAACAACAGAGGCCGAAGGGAGTAAGCTCGGTAAGAAAACGACCAAGTGCGCTAGGCCGGCAGTTACGCGTTCAATTAGCGGAACCCGAGCGCTTTTCAAATTTGCATCGCTGCCATGCGGCCGGGTAATTAGCCGCGCAGACACGGCCCGGTTACTTTGTGTTTATGTTGGCCTGGTAGTGGCTGCTCGTCTTTTTAGTTCCGTTTTATGCCAACTGGGTTCGTTTAGGATCTTGTTCTTTTTATTGCCGCATACGTTGAGCATTTTGTGTTTCAGTACACCATTTAAGTTGACTCCGTGCATTTGTGGTTAAATGGAACCAATCTTATCGAGAGCAGTTAATAAATTAAAATTGAAACACTCAACGCGATCACTGAATATTCAGAACTTAGCCCAACTAATTTATCGCTCCAATAAACGCTTGTCTGCCCACTTGGCCATTCCGTCCGAAAATTCTAACGCTCCCTGATTGAAAATATTTCTTGGCTGGTATTCCTTGGAGATAGGTCGACTTAGAACGGGACGTGTATGGAATTCGACGTAGCACCGAAATTACCTCCGATTGACCTCCAAGCGCTAAAAATATCTCGACAAACCTGCGCAAATTGGAAGTATCGTATTCAATCATCGCCCTTGGATTTTGTGCTACATGTAAATTGAATCTGGCCTCATAAATGTACGACAATCTGACAATTTTTCTTAATAAATTGGATACGGCCCCATGAATAACATATCCTAAATTTTATTAGAATAGAATAATATACTAGGAAAAAATAAAAATTCTATAGCATGGTAAGAAAACACAAAGTAATACTTAAAAATGATTTACCCATTTTCCGTTGACGGCTTTCATGGCGCTGAACAGCTGTTTGAGCTCCTTTACCGTCACACTGTAACTCGCCAGCACGCCCAGCATCTCGATCAGGAGATCTGGAACAAACAAGTGACAAAATGAGCATATTCATAGTATGGTCTATAAATCATCACCATGTCTCCTATCGCGACGATAGATTACATAAGAGGATGTAGAATCACATAATGAGCAATGCCTGAGCCATTGTCGGAGAATAACGCCTCTCAAATTAGAAAAGGCGAGAATCTAAAATAGATACCCATAACAATAATAATAATAAAGAGATAATAATAAGAATAATAATAATAATAATAATAATAATAAGAGTTTAAAATAAATACGAAAATAATAATAATGATCTACTATTTCAACACAAAGGGAAAAAATCCTATATAAAGACTAGCAATCCCTTGTGAGAGTCTGGAATCCATACTAAGCAGCGAGAACTGTTATCACTCTAGCTAACATTATACAGGATGTTTGGAAGGTGGGCACAAAGCTTTAAGGTGCAGCTAGTATAAACTATTTAGAAGTATTCCAGGCATGGCTGTCTTAGACGGAGTCTAAAATGTTTTATCAAATAAATTATTTTTATTTACTATACTATAATAATATAATAGATAATATACTATACTACACACAATACTATACTATACTGATAGCTGTAAAAGTATTAACTGGGTGATAAATCTTTCATAGATTTCTCATAGATGGCGCTAGGACTAAAAAGTCGTAGAAAAACCAAATACAAAGTCACGACGCAAGCACATAGAAAAATTCGTGAGGTCTGCTGGTTCGTTCCGTGGCTTAGTTGGTATAGCGTCTGACATGGTAAGCTAGAAGACGTCGGTTCGAATCCGGCCGGATCGAAGGAATTTTTTCTGAGTGTTCGATCTTTGTATTAATAATTATAATAAATTTACTGTTTTTCAAAGTATATATCAAACGCTTTTGCATTCATTGGAACCATTGTGAAAAGCAGTGGGTCCAGTCTTCCGCCGCTTCCGGGCTTTTAAATCGTAAACCTCTAAGTTTATATTGGATTATTTGAAATAAAAAGAAGTCGCATGGTCTGGGCTGCATGGCGGATGGGTCATCAGCTGCACACTTAAGGCCTCCAAATACGCATTCGTTATCTTAGCGGAATGTACGAGTACATACGTGCTGTCGTTGACGAACGGAAGAACGATATCGAGGACTTAATGAATTGTCTTCCAATAAACTTTGTTTATCATTTTACGGCACCACTCGACACACAATCGTTTCTGGTATTCTTTTAAATCAAGCGGTCTCTATCGAGTGCAGTTTCCGGACCTGCAGATGCACATGCAATAGCACTTGCACCTGGCTCATTCAAATCCCTAACACGTTACGAATTTGTGACAAATAATTTTTTGTCAGTTTCAATCAGTTGTCGTACGATATGAATATTAAATTCGGTAACCGCAGTCGCCGGCTGACCTTCACGTACATCGTCATGAAGATGATCACGTCCACGTCTAAATTCACTGAACTACGAGCAGACAGAGCTATGACATGGGGCTTCATCACCAAATGCCAATTGAAGTCTCCGACAACTCTCTTATAACTTAAGCCACATAGAAGACTGTAGAAAATCATGGACTGAAAATTTTCACACGGTCTTTTCAATACGACGTCACAATGAAAAAACAAATGACACGACTCATAAAGTAAAAAGTACCCAATCTACTCTCAGAGAGTTCCTTTTCCAAACATAGTATTTGTTTCTTTTATAGTGGCTAGTTCCAGGAACTTCCAGTATGCCTCACGAAGGCCCCACGTAACCTATCTAGTAATCATAGAAAAATCTTTTTAGTATAGGGCAAAGTGTGTATGTTCAGTAGTGTACGTATGTATTAATATAGGCTAGTATGTTTATCCATCAGGAGAATATTACCAGGCCTGACGCCAAATTGTTTTAGTAAAGTAGGTTTTGCCTATTTTTATTAGCCGGAATCCTATTACGGATTAACAATATTCTCTATTGCCCTGGTAATCGCTACTCATTCCCAGAACAAGGTTATACTTATATGTACGTGTGTCGCTCATTTACATATTGCTATCAAGTTGCAAAACACAGAAAACAAGTACTAGTGTTGTAGTACGTGTAGTCTAAATTGAATAGGAATAGGTTAGGTTCAGTTTTGCAGGAATGAATTTTTCTCGGGAATTTATTTCTAATTTAATGTAATGCAAAATGTATTTATTTTTAATCCATGGATACATATACTATGTACACCACTTTTGTACATTATGTTTGTTCGCTTTATAAACAAAAATATAGACACAAGGAATTCGGCTTTTGGCTATATAACGAATAAGCGAATATCAGACATCCATAATTTCTCAATTGATACAACGGGTATCCATTCAACCCGCATTGTTCGGAGCTTTAGCGAAACGTAAAGCGAAATCATATTTTATTAACAAGAAGAAACAAAAGGCAGAAACGAACGTGGCTAAAACACAGGAAGTCGGACACGTTGTAAATCGTCTAAAAAAACTCATTTAGCGGCAGCGGCTTAAAGGCCTGTGACGTCACGTAAATTATGACCACCTACTAGCCCCATCCCCTACTAAAGAACACTAGCTGGCTGCAACTTAAGCTTTCATACAAGTAAAACAAAAAAAGAAAGTCTTAGCTGTATTCTTATTATTGTCCGTTGGCTCCTAATGAATTAATTTATAATTTTTTTTTTCTTTTACTTTGTCGTGAAATTCAGAGCCAATACTAAATTACCTTCATTTCGGAGAACACATTCCATTGTTTTTAATGTATAACAAGTCCCCAATTGTATTACTTTTTCTCAATTTTACAAATTGTTTCAAATAAGCTTTTTCTCTCATTCTAATAAGCTTAGTTAGAGACGCGAATAAACAGAAACAAAAACAGCTTATTCTTACTCAAAACCTTCGAATAGTACTTTTTTTTAAATGGCACGTACTATTATACTTTAGGTAGAATATTATAAATAAATTTTACGTGCGTAATACGACGTCAAACGCGTCGTTGAACTGTAGTCTGCGCACACAAGGCAAGCAACATTTCAAATGTAGAGCTGTTTGGCAATGACAATGAAATTGATATAAGTAAGTATTGCTTTTCTAGATACTTGTAACCGGGGGCGTAGCTCAGATGGTAGAGCGCTCGCTTAGCATGTGAGAGGTACCGGGATCGATACCCGGCGCCTCCAGGAATATATTTTTTTTTATTTTTCAATGGAGTTTTACGAAACCGTCATCTCTTTTTCGCAAGATACCTAAAACTTACGTAATTTCTGTACATCCGTTAGTCTGTAGGTTACACACAGTTATTTTATTCGCTCGGTTTATGCACCAATTGTCATGAAATATTATGTGAATTAACATATTGATAATGGTAAAGTAGATGCGAAAAGTGAACAAAAATTAACTTCTTTCGATCTCCATAGAAAGATACGTAACAAAAAATTACACCATTTTATTTACACTCACTTTCTGAAAACCCAAAGAAACAAATTTGAGGATCAAATAAGATGCTACATTTTTTCCTGTATATATCATTGTAGTTTTATGAGAAAGTTTAATGGAAAAATACAGAAAAATAGAAAAATAAAACTTTGGTACCTGGAGGCGCCGGGTATCGATCCCGGTACCTCTCACATGCTAAGCGAGCGCTCTACCATCTGAGCTACGCCCCCAGTTACAAATACTGCATAAAATAAAAGCCTCGTTTGTATTAATTATGTCTAAACAGTACATGAGCAAAGCGACCACGATTTCGTAAGCAAGAATGTGATATTTACTTACAACGTGATAGTAAATCCTGGGATAGGCGCTGTCCGGGGGCGTAGCTCAGATGGTAGAGCGCATGCTTTGCATGTAAGAGGTACCGGGATCGATGCCAGGGGTATCAATGTTTTGTCAATATTTTTAATGGGCTCTTATGAGAACTATGATTGTTAATCGCAGCGTAACTTAAGTATTATTACGTAGTCATATTTAAAAAAAAAAATTAAATTAATCTGATCAACCGTTAATCTATATCCGTTCGTCCGTCAATGTACTCGCCCGGTTAATGCACCTATTTTCAGGAAAGTTGTATATATGTTGATGAATCAATAGCAGAAGTGAAAACAAACCGAATTAAGTTGTTTACCTATATAGAACTAAATACAACACAAAAAAATACACCCTCACCCTTAAGTAGGCTGTGGATTAGTGTTTCAAATTCAATTTTAGACACATTCAAAATGATAGATAATCTAATAAAAACCCAGATCTTTCACTGTCACATTTTCCTCTAAAACTGGAAATATAAAAAAAATAATATTCCTGGAGGCGCCGGGTATCGATCCCGGTACCTCTCACATGCTAAGCGAGCGCTCTACCATCTGAGCTACGCCCCCGGTTACAAATACTACATAAAACAAAGCCATATTTGTGTAAACATGTACGTGAACAAGGCGAAGAAAATATCGTACATGAAAATGTGATATTTACCCACAAGTTACGCCCCCAGTTGTGAGAAGTATATCCAGTCGATGCTTTTTATTCTTTATTTTCAATCAAGAGTTACCTGCCTAGCCCCAGATGTATCACGGTCAGATCATGGCTAAGATTCACTGAAAAATGGTTCAAAAAACGAACGAGTTCCATTCGACTATCGAACATTTAGTAGAGGCTAATAAATTTCTTTCTCATTTTGCAATGCATTTACGAGCATATATCTAAGCCAAGAAAAACCATGCTCCATCAGTTAATGTGCGCATATTGTTCCCGGGGAACAATAATCCCGGGGTTAAGTCCGGGACTGACCCGGGATTGGACTTAACCCCGGGATTTCGAGATTTCGAGTCTTCGGCTACGTTTTTGCGTTGGCTATTCCTAGAGGTAAAAAGAAGACTGGTTGTTTAAGCCTGGGTGTATAAAACCCGGGATTTTATGGGACTTGGGGTTTACAATTTAGTGTGCATGAAATTATACAGCGATTAATAATTAAATATACGGGTAACAAATTTGAATAAGAAAATATATAATAAATAAAAAATTTAGTCTGGAACATATTATATTTTCA